TGAATGGAAGGATGGGATGGGATGGGTGAGTGGTGGATGGATGGATGGGTGGATGGGATGGATAGATGCATGGATGGATGGATGGATGGGTGGGTGGATGGGTGGGTGGATGGGTGGATGGGTGGATGGATGGATGGATGGATGGATGGATGAGTGGGTGAATGGATGGGTGGGTGGGTGGATGGATGGCTGGATGGATGGATGGGTAGATGGATGGATGAATGGGTGAGTGGGTGGATGGATGGGTGGGTGGATGTTAGATAAGATCCAAATAGGATGGATTTCAAAGGGGTCAAACATGAAATTGTTCAAATTTTTTCATCATGTTGATGTTTGGTTAAAGTGGATGTTGGTGTCAGGTGAGCTAGAGCCCCATCCGAAAGTGGCAGCCACTCCTGCTGGGTGCTGGCTGGTCACTATCTTGTTTACACACAGGCTCCATTCTTCAGGAGGGGCCAAAAGTATGGAGTTTTATATGACACAGTCTGATTTTTTTCAGTGTTGGCAGCTATTAAAATTTTAAATTTTGTGTAGGTCAAACATCTTGATTGCTTTAGACATAGGTAACCAGTGAGAACCAGCCTACAGTCTCTGCTTTGTAGAAGTATAGGAATAAATGTAAATAAAAGGCAACATACATAAAGAGAGGAGAGTGAGTTTGTTTCTGAAGGAGGCTTCTAATATTTAGAGGAATTCAAGTACAAAGTTAAAAGTCAAGGTTTTGCCAGGAATGGCCCTCTGTCTTTTCTCTTTACTCATCCTCCCTCCCGTGCCCCCCGCCCCCCGGTTCTTTTTCCCTTTTTCTTCACTGCTTCATGATCTGCCACCACCTGAGCACGCAGACCTGGACTCCTGGGCGGAAGGCCTCATAGACCCCTCCCCCAGCGCCACTTCACACTGGAGATGGAGCCTCGCGAGCGTGGTTCTGGGACGCAGAGCTAGCGTTCTCCAGCTGCGCCAGGCAGGCAGAAGCCCAAGTCGCTGGCAGGAGGCTTGCTGAGTTCTGTGCCCTCAGCTGGGCCCTGAGCGGCCGCTGTGCAGAACCGTGGGAACAGGGTGCAGGCGAGGGGGCTCCCCGGGCGTCCTGTTCGTGTCTCATGCAGGACGCCGGAGGGAGCTTTGCTGATAGAGATATCAGCCCACTTGTGATGTTTTATTTCCATGGCTGTGTGGTGAATAATCTTCCTGTTTTTCAGGGCAGTGAGTCCAACTTCTTATAAAGGTCAGACTTCCAGGCTGAAAAATAAAATATAAAGAGAGCTTGAGTCCAAAAGCGAGATATTTCTCATTAGAGTCAGTTAGAGACTGTGTGTGTCACTGGTCGCTGCCTTTCTCCTGGGACAGCTGATCTTGGGAGGACAGCCAAGTGCTAGCCTGGGGCTACAGCAGCCTCAGCAGGGAGCAGGAGTTCAGCAGAGGGGTAGGCGGCTGGGCCCCTGCTGTGCAGCCCCTTTGGGTCTGCGCCTGGAGCTCTCGCAGGAACAGCTCGCGACTTTCTCTGTGCATCTTCTACCTTGTATGTCCTAGATGTGCTCCAAGTGGGTCATGCATTGACTCAGACCACTGTAAAAACAACTTTGAGAGATTGGCAGGATGTTGGCAGCAACAGATAGATGCTCAGAATTGCATGACAATTGTCATGCTGCAATTTAAATGGAATATTCCAACTTGATTTTAGGCTGACGTTCAGTCTTATAATGGGATTTTGTTGATGGCTATAAATGTCAAAGTTAGATCCCTCCCTAGGGGCCATGCAGTAGCAGACAAAGGCGGGGTTCCCCATGCAGGGGGCAGCCAATCTTTCCAAACAGTCAGCCTCAGAGTACAGCTTCCTTCAGCCCCATCCTGTGCCTTCCCTGTCCATCCCAGACATGGCACAGTGGCTTCCCTCTGTGCCCCTCTCAGCGCTGTTACCATTCTGACTGCCTGCCCTCATGTGGGTCCCCTCCTCCCCCGCAAGCCCCCACTTCCCACCACCACGGCCAGCTTCACTCAGATGAGTAAGTTTCGCCACAACTCAGGAAGTACCGTACCCACGATGGTTCTTCTTCAGGAGCAGGTGTGCCCCGTCGCCTCCCAGGGCATCTAGCCTGTGGCGTCACTCCGTGCATCCAGTTCTGTCTGCTGTGGAGAAAGTTACCTGCAGCTTTCACTTCCTTCCCCAGAAATCAAAAGTTGTTCAGTCTGATGAAATGAAAGTCAGAACACATGAGCATCTCAGCTCTGCCTGCTGTATTAGCATTCATCTGATAATTACATGGAAATGTTTTACAATTGTTGATTCTAGAATCTTGGCAAAAAAAAAAGATGCTTCCCAAGTGAAGCTGCAGGATGGCTGGGAAAGCCCTGCTGTCTAATGCAGGTCCTGCTAGAGCCATTCATCTGCCTGCAGCACGTCCCAGACCAGAACCCAATCATGGCATTGTGGGAAGAGAGTCTGTAGGCCTTCAGTTTATTTCATGTTTGTCTTCAAGTGAATTACATCCGCCCCCAAGTTCTAAACACAAATTCTATAGCTCTTCATTTGTTCAGCAAGTTAGATTCCAGTAGTGAGCAGAGCACAGTCCCTTCTTCCTGTGGAGATTTTGTTTCAAACCTGTGGGCCCTGGGTCTCATGGGGAGGGTGGATGAAGCAAGGAGCTTACTGAGAAGGAAAGTGGACACCTTGTGCGGTGTAGCTTTTGCTACCTACCATGGCTCCCGTCACTGCTGAAGACCGCCATGGTTCCTGAGTTTCCCAACTCTGAGTCTCTGGCCAGTGGTCTTACCTCCAGTCAGGTAGGCTCTCCTTTTCCTTGGTGGCAGTGCGGAGGGTGGGTTAGCTCAGGCTCGGCAACTACTTTCTGAAAAGCATCAGACAGTGAATGTTTTAGGCTTTGCAAGCCAAGCAGTACACTGTGATACTGTGTCACTGCAGAATCCAAGTGCTTCAATAAAACTTCATGGACAAAGCAGACTAGATTTGCCATTGAATGACCATAGTTTGCCAACTTCTGGTTTGGCCTGTGGACCCTGGCATAAACTCCTGACTTGCCAGTTATTAACCACATAACTTTTCTATGTCTTGGTTGGTGTTCTTAACTGTATGGGGATGATGGCAACATTTACCTAGTAGAATTGTTTAAAGATTAAGGCATTCAAAAAAGTCCCTAAAGCACACATACATATTTGTCCTTATCATCTTTATCAGTCAATGTATTACCGTATTTCACTATAGAAACTTTTTAAAAATTATTTTTATTTTGTCTGTTCAGTACTGTGGGTTGAGCCCAGGGGTACTCTACCACAGAATATATTCCAACCCTTTTTGTTTTGAGATAGGTCTTACTAAATTGCTCAGGCTAACCTTCAATTTGCAGTTGTCCTGCCTAGACTTCTCAAATAGATAGAATTACCAGCATGGGCTTCCAAGCCCAGCTTAAAGGATCTCCTTTTTTATAAAAGTTTTACGAAAAAATTCTGAACTTCCTCTAAAAAATAGTGAATTTTCATGTTGAAATCGTGCTCCAAATAATAGACATTTTCTCTGTCATGTAGTCCAGTGATACTATGAAATAAATGCATATGGTGAAAACCTCCTCACCACTTATGTGGTTGTTTGTAGGGGAAGATGTATATGGATTTACATGCCAGTGACTTCCCAGAGCACAGCGTGTGTGTAAGTTGGGCACTTCGTAGTCTGGAATGGATGAGATAACCTCTGAGCAAAGCCAAGTGGGAGTCAGGACGGAAAACAGCCCCACGAAG